ATGACCTAACGATGTCTCGCTATATACTGCTTCGTGTGGCCGAAGACCTACATATAGACGTGTCGTTTGATCCCAAACCGGTGGCCGGTTGGATGGGTAACGGCGCGCACACCAACTTCAGTACTGAAGCTATGAGAGCTCCGGGAGGTCTGCCCCAGATTAAGAAAGCGATTGAAAAGTTGAGCAAAAATCATGCGAAACATATGCGAGTGTATGACCCGCTCGGGGGTCGGGATAACACCCGGCGATTGACCGGACAGTACTATTCGTCCAAAATGGATGAGTTCACGTCGGGTGAGGCCGATAAGGGGGTCAGCGTTAGGATACCGATGCACGTGATTAAAGCGGGGAAAGGCTATTTTGAGGACAGACGTCCCGCTGCTAATTGTGACCCATATTTAGTGACTGAGGCTATGGTCCGCACGTGTTGTTTGAATGAGTAGTAGTTATCGAAATAATAGATATTTGATATAAATATCCCCGATATGTTTGTCATGTTATTAATATTTAAGATAATTTTAGTTGTTTTTGAAAATACATGTTTATTATAACAGAAGTACTATAATATTACTGCCGGTAATAGAAAAATATTTTTACTTATAAGTTATAACTATAATTTATAAAATAAAATTATTTGATTTGGAACATTTTAACATTATTTTAGATATTTAGTTTTCCATGTTCAATTCTAATAAGGGTGAAAATAAATGTTCAATTATAAGAATAAAGAGTAGTGGTCACTGTCAAATTAAATGTTCTGGTTCATGTTCATAATTTGTCATCCCTAATTCTTGAACACGTCCAGTATGCATTGCTGTAACATGTATAAATATGAAATCAGTATCATTATGAATGATAATAAAATTTACATACATGAGTTTTAACTTCAACCGCTTTGTCTTCTGGCTTGTTTAAACGATCATGCTCATCCATTAAATCTTTATTATCGACAAACACTTTGACCATACAATTGAAAAACTCTTTATCACAATACATAATCAATGCTCCCTTGCGCTCCATAACTGTTTGATCCACTTTGGTGTAGGCGCTCACATCAGCTTTTTTTGCGCAATCAGTTAGTTTGATTGCAAGCTATAAATGTAAAATTAACATGCTTGAATGGTAATAAAAATTTTACCTGGATAATAACAAAGTTTAAGTTATAAATAGTTTGACAAACTTTCTTAGCAAACGCTATCTCTTCAGCCGTTTGATTGTGTTTGTGTTCGCATTCAATCACTTTATCCATAATAGCTGTGTCCGTCTTATTGGGGACACACAGTAGTGATTGTATTTTGTGTAACTTTTCCAGGTCATCATCAGCCACACAATTAAGCCAGTAATTGTTGGCGACTATAAACATGAACGATAATACTATTAAAATGTGTCTCATTTTAAGTAAAGTTAATTATAACGATGTTTAACTTTTATTTAATTTAGTATAATATAAATTATATTAAATTATAAAAATGCACAATTTAAAATGTTTGGCAAAATAAAATGTCAAATGTATTATTTAATTGCACTTATATGTGAATTTTATGGAATATTTTTAAAACTGAAATTTCTTATTTCAATATAAATGTAGTTGAGCAAATAAATCAGTTTATTTATTGATTACATTATTGTTACCAAATCAATTGGTAAGCCATTACAGCATTGTATTATAATTTAATATTAATGTTTTATTGGATCAGGTTTAAATAATTAAACACAATATTAAATACTAATCAGTGAATTATATTATATAAAAAAAAATATAAATTATAGTTTTTAATTTTAATTTGCCTAAATCCGTATTTTAAAAATTTCTATAGACGCAATTTATAAAAATTATAAATAAATTACTAGATTAATTGAAACTGTTTGGTATTTATAATAAATTGATAATTAGAAAATAATAATTTAAACTTTTGAAATGAATATATAAATATAAAAATTATATTTGATTTTGTGCAATATGCAAGCTTTGACAATGATTATTATATTTAAAAAATTTCATGTTAAATGAAAAACCTGTATAAATAATACTTACTATACATTTAATTATATAATATGATTATAGTTATATTTGTATTTTATTAAATATTTATTAAGCAATCATACTACAGTATTGTTATATCGAAATGTAATGACAATTGTATGGCGCAATCGGGGTTTACTTATAATGTAGTGTTAATTTATGGGGATTCAAGGAATTTCTGAAATATTTTGAAAAATGACTCAGGATATTTTTATAAAACAGAAAGCAGTGCCTTTAAGAGTAATAAGATTATTGAGTTAAATTTTATTGCCGAATGTTAGTAGGGTTTTTAATTGTTATTAATATTTACGGTAATCTTGTATGTGTTGGATATTACTTATTATTTTATAAAATAAATCTTACAAATTATAATATTTGATTGTGCATAATATTTAAAAATTTATTTAATCATATTTAACAATTTAATCACTTTAAATTTTTATTATTAATCAATAATTAATTTTTACTTAAAACATATTTGATAAATGCATGATTAATATAATAATTTACTTATTTTAAAATGGTTTGTTCAGGTTAATTATCATTGATATTACTTCTTGAAAATATTCATAAGACACTTCTGTAAATATAGAAAATTATATTAATACATAATACTA